AGTGAGCTCCGCTTCCAGCTGATGCCACTCATGTAGAGCCCATTTCTTAGCGTGTGCGTGCCACTCATGATATCGTGTTGCTTGTGCTACGACCAATTCTTTCACAAGACTCACGTGGACTCGCAACCACATGTGAATAACCTGAAACTTTTCATAACATTCGAAACTAGTGATTTGGATGAAGCATCCTGCGACACTTCGAAAGAGTAGTTTGCTCAACAACTCGGAAGCGCAGCCAAACACAGCCCTTCAAATTATAGTCTTAACTTTGGCCTGCTTGTATTCGATAGCTAACATTTTCAAGAGCGCCATTAAAAAACTGTTCCTCCGAGAGTTGCCCCATGGCCTACCACACGCCCAACCATAGTAGAATGCACTACTTGTCTACGCTCTCCCACTTCTGGGTGTTTTCTACCGCTGATGTGTTTAGCTGCGCGACTTTGGTATCTACACAGGTCCTGCAGTTCGAGCATAGCGCGGGCCGAAAATAGAGACGGCAGTCGTGCCAGTACCCCACAGTCACATTCTCGTGCATTTTGGAGCAGAGAAAGTGGCACCAGCTGCGGATCCATACAGGTCACTAATGCAAGGGACCATCCTCCAAGGTAACTAACCCCTCTCTTCACCCTCCACAGAAGAACTTTTTATGGGATGTCGTGACAGTGAGATTTAAGAGGTTCACGTAAACCGACCGTAACATTAGAGTCCTCAAAAGGGAAGCAGCATTCAAAGACCTTCACAAAGAGATATAGACTGTGTTACCAGATGAAATCACAGCTGGACCAAAAGAGATGCCCAACGCTCCGATGACTATCAACATATGAGCAGGCAGCCGTTGTCAGTTCTACTTCACGACGATGCGCGCCAGCATATGTTGAAGAAGTCCTGTCAGAGCTTGGCTTGCCATAAACAGTGTATTCACTAAATTTATCGCGCAGCTTCTCACTACCATTTCTTTGTATGTTTTTTTTTCAGGACATCAATGCATCCTAGAAAAAAAAATTGGGTAATCGAGGTCATCTCTTAATAGAAGATCGCGTCACTATTCATCTTCTCACCATGGCAAACGAAATTTCGAGAGCAAACAAGAGAGAAAGATGGATGGATGTTCGAGATATTAATAGTCACAGCCTCGCTGAAGATCTCATTCAGTGGAGGGGATGCAAAATGAAATGCTCGAAGTGTCGCAGGACTGTTCATCAAACCTTTTCATAACTAAAGATTGTCCCTAACTGAGATTTGCGGCTTCAGGTTTGTATGAGCACCCCAAAATTCTCTCACCTCTTTATCGACGCTGACATTCTTCCAAGGCAATACCGATGTTCCACAAACCTGCCATGGGCAGCTTCGAAGGTTCGCGACCTACTTGCCATTGACAATTTCTGTAGACGCAGATAGCCAACTCGGCGGTTATTTTCTGCAAATTTCAGCAACTATCTTTTCAGCCTTAGTAGAAGAAAATGTGCAAGTAGAAGAAAATGTGCACAGGAGGATTGTGACAAAAAGTCTTGCGGCACAATAAATCTCAAAAGTTCAAAATTACTAATCGCGAACTTGATTTGAGTCTGAACATGTCCTTGAGATCGTGTGATTCTGATATGTACCAGACAGTTGACTGTCAACAAATTGATGCCAGTGCTGACCTGCCACATTGGCTAGCAGAGCTCTTGCAGCATTCAGTTCACTGAAAGGCATTCATTTTTCGAAAATGCGCTTAAGGTATGCCACTCAAATGTGTGAACTTCTAAAGGGAAAAATTTCACGAGGCCGCCACACATACCAAACGGTAGGCTTCTTGAAAGCCTCTTCAAGCAATGCCTTCTTGGAAGAGATTACATCTGTCCACACGGCGGGAGCCGCACACCAGCAACCTGGAGCATGTAATATGTAAAACGATGCTCCCAGACGACCAGAGCATGTTCTTCTTTGAATCGTGAAAGGTCATAGAAAGAAAGCAAAGTTTTCTGGCCCAAAGAAATATAATGCAGTAGAAATGTTACAGAGATCACACTTGCCTGAGCACTAGCTTTTTCGAGAGGTGCGTTGTCTTGCTGCATTATGTCCGGTGTTACGCTCAGCATGAAGACTAGATGAGTGAGAGATGTGAAGAACCAACTTTCGTTTGACGAGAGGAAAATATAACGCTTTGTCACAACTGAGGAGAGGGTGTCTAACACGGACATTTGCACTGCAATGGAAAAGGTCAAATGAAAACTAAAGACTGCAAAAAAGTTTTGTAACATTAGGCTTTTTGAAAACGCTGTTGGGAATGTCTGCATGTTAGTAAACGAAAATCGATCATAAGAGGTCACCCATGTCATCAGATGGCTGGCAAGGTCACAAAAAACAGCTAAACAGCTCATTCTAATATAAGGTTGAGTCGATATGAATCGGACAAATGGTAGTAATGATTTCCCGAGATCATAACTCAGCAACGAGTGAACGAAAATGGATGCGCGGGATACCGTTGGAAAGAATATGAAAAGCTCTTCAAAATGCAATCAAACAAACGCTTCAAACTAGCTTTATTCCGCTACCATGTCAAACGATTTCAAGCCGTCCAGAGACCACCTCCGCAACGTCATACTCTTTCTAACGCTATCTGGCCAAGAACCCGCGGATATCGACAGACGCCTAAAGGAAGTCTACAAGGAGCATGCCCCCGCTAGAAGTACAGTCTACTTGTGGCATTCGAAGTTTGCGTCGGGCAACTATTCCATCGAAGACGAAGACCATGCGAGACGCCCGAGGGAGCTGGATTTGGACTCGCTGCGGAAACAGGTGGAAGCCGATCCGTATCAAACCACTCGAGATATGGCGACCGCTCTTGGGGTGAGTCAGACTACTGTCGTTCGCGGCTTGAAGTCAATCGGCAAGGTGCTGAAACTCGGTCGATGGGTACCCCATGCTCTGACGCAGCGGGACATGGATCGGCGGTGCGAGGTCGCACTTTCGTTGCTCACCTTCAAGCGCCACCACCATTGGCTCGACGAAATAATCACTGGCGATGAGAAGTGGGTCCTCTACTCTAACTCTCACCGCCGTGCACAATGGGTCGACAAAGATGCCGACGCAAACGACGTCCCCAAACCCAGTCCACACCCGAAAAAGGTGATGCTCTGTATTTGGTGGAGCGTACACGGCGTAGAGTACTGGGAACTGCTCGATGAAGGTGCAACAGTAACCGCCGACGTCTACATTCGTCAATTACGAGAACTGAAGGCAAATGTCCAAAATTCGCAACGGCGGCGGTCCCATGTCTACTTCCAGCACGACAACGCGAGACCGCACATTGCAAGATCGACCAAGGCCGCCGAGCTGCTGTCGTAGGCAAATTGGACCCGTGCTTCCCACGCGGCACCGTAGCTCTCCAGACCTGGCCCCATTCGGATTTCAACTTTCTCCCAACGCCCCCCCCGGAACACCCGCAGCGGCGTGATGCTCATGCCCGCTTGCCTTGCACTCAACGGCCTGCCTGGACGGCCAAGACTTCGAAAACTCCGCGACGCACGTCAAGAAGGCACCTCGAAACCCTTCTTCGAGCCGGATCCGCCAGCCGCCCGGCCTACTTGAAGCAAGGGCATTCACGATCTGCCTATCCGGTACCAGAAGGTCATCGATGAAGATGGAGCTATATTTCAAGTGAACCCCAGTTGTTGTTATAAAGTTGTACGTTAAATGAAAAATTTGACAATTTTTTCGATTCATATCGACTCACCCTAATAATTTAATTGGTTAATTGCAAGACCCAATCTGGTGAGGAATGCCCTCTCCATCCACACGTGCTCAAAAGCCTTAAAAACATGTTCAGCCCAAGGATTCGAACTTCAGCTTTCTAGGTCTTGTACTGGAACAGTGCTGGACACCTCCTTAAAGGCAAACTCTACACTGACCTCCGTGGATTCCGGTCCGCCCATGTGTGAGGTGTATGGGTACACAGCTGCTGTAACGTACCATTTTTCCGCTCAAAAGTGCATGGGAACGGGCAGGAGAGTAGCGTTATTCGGGTGATGTCCTCATAATTTGCAAGCGCAGCCGCATTGCAAGCCACACGCCAGACCAAACCAAACGCGCAACGTTCTGAAGCCTTTTACTTCTAGTTGTTCTCTACGGCTAAGTGTGCGCTACGCTGTGGTATCGACGCGTGTGCTGCATCTTGAGGACAGCACGGGCGGAGTATGAAAACGGCACTGAATATCACTTCTCTCCAGCCCAGTTCTCCGAGTATATTTCAGCGGAAGAAGTGGCAGGCTACTGTAGCTGCGGACCCATCCACATTGCAAATGGAAACGACCGTCATTGGAGGTTTGTGTAGAGTTTCTCTTCATTATGAGACTCTATAAGCCACACAGTCCGAGTATGCAATCCCCGGCGAGGTTCTTAAGATCAGATGCGCGTTCAAGTAACTACATGAACCATATTCGAAAGGGGATGCGTGCTTTCAAAAGAAACTATTAATGCTCAATCACTCCATGGTTCCCCTACACGAGTTTTAGAATAACCAGAATGAATGGCATCGCTCATAAGTCCGCTCTGATAAATTTATAGGTAATTTGGTTTAGGATTTGAATTCAGTCACTTAGCGCTTGAAATTCTGGTTACATCAAATTTGGAATAGGCGGGACAGGGGACTGCAACTCACAGAAACTTCATAAAGCACAACAATAGGTCATGAGGTCGGTGCGAGGTGATGTCCGCAAGATTCGCACCTAAGACCAAATCCACTCAACAACGCAGCGCTGCAGCGTGTCAAATGTCTCTGTCTGTGCCTTTAACGTCAACTGGCTAGAAAACCGAGTAGTTTCACGACTTGGAGGTAATATTTGCCCCTCTATCGAGGTACTCGCACTATATCAAGAAGGTTGTGCCACAACAGGAAAAGTGTCTCACCCTGGACATTTTCAATTGGCCGGCTCAAAATATACAGCACACAGCGCATAATAGACGACGTTAGACTATCCAAATTGATTTCCTGTATGAAAGTTCCAGTGTAAACGAGGAGGATTCAATGAGAAAGTAGTCACGCTAACCTTATTCTCTTTTCGACTAGCAATAGAATACACACTGTACAAAAGTTGTAGCAATCTTAGAGGTTCACCAACAATAAAACCATTCCAAAGGCAGTCGACTGCGCGAAGAGCCATGTATGAAATGTTAACTCCTACCTAAAAAAGATTCGGTTCTGTTGTATATCGTTCATATTGTAATTATTCATTCCGCTATTCATAGTATTTTGAACATAATGCACAACTGAAACGACATTTAAGCCAAATGATGTTTTCTCAAAACAAAGACGATTGTCAGCCAATTACAACTCACTTGAGCCAATGATTGAGGAGGAGCGTTTGGAGGAAGAGATGACGAAACCAGCAAATCAGTACTTAGTAAATGTTCGAAGATCTATGAAGAATAAAAATCAGAAACGAATGTCACAGCACATGAAGCAAATGTTTACCCGCCCCGGACCGCAGCACCCGTGAATGAGAGCTGTCAAAGCAACGATCTGTAACTTTCTCGTCCGCCCATTCTCGCATATATTCTGGAAATGGCCATTACACGATTACGTAGCAGCGGAGTTCACCTACAGTTATGTTCACTGCACGAAAACTAAAAACTATGGGCGCAGTAGATCACCTATTGTTCTATCAACCTTAAAGACACATAGTACGCTCATACACATTGAGGGTGTATGAGACTATCAGCCCCCCAGATGTCGATGTGTCGTGGTCCCCCCGCCCAAACATGCCCAGGAATGGAGATACAGGGCCGTGAAACACGCTAATTCCTCCATGCTCCGCCCACTGCCTTTTTACGGCGCAGATTCCCGCCGTTCATAACATCCGTTGCAAGCGCGCCTGTCGCGTGCGGCTCCTTGGCACTTTGCCAAGTCCTTTAATTGCGCTCTCAAATACGAGTAAAACGCAATTTCTTGATGCGGATAACATTGGAGGTGCTACAAAATAAGAACAGAAGATGATGACGAGGGCCAAAACAACTCGGCTGCATCTGCAGTATCCATCAGAGGCCGCGCATTCCCACAAAACATGAAAATAAAAACAGCCCAAGCGTCCCACTCGTTTGTTCTAAGTATTTCTATGGCTTTGGCGCCGGATCGTAGAAATTTACAGGCCAGTTTATCTAATTTGCCTTTCCTTGATTTTTTCATTTTTGTTTTGTTTACATTTACATCGTTGTGCTTCATTTCTAGCCTGTGTCATCTTCATCTCCTTGTACATGGATTTTGAAGCATGAGGAACAAACTCGAGATTTTTATTCGCATCAGGAAATTGCGTCTTTGCTTGTATCAAACTAACGAGTATGCCGTTTTATTTTCATGTTTCGTGGAAATACGCGGCCTCCGAGGGATGTTGCAGAAGTGGCACAGTTGCTTTTAGTTCTGACCCTCGTCATCATCTTCCTTGTTCGTCAATTTTGTTAGCACCTCCAATGTTATCCGCATCAGGAAATTGCGTTTTACTTGTATTTGAGAGCGCAATTAAAGGACTTGGCAAAGTGCCAAGGAGCCGCACGCGACAGGCGCGCTTACGACGGATGTTATGAACGGCGGGAATCTGCGCCGTAAAAAGGCAGTGGGCGGAGCATGGAAGAATTAGCGTGTTTCACGGCCCTGTAATATGCCATTCCTGGGCATGTTTGGGCGGGGGACCACGACACATCGACATCTGGGGGCTGATAGTCTCATACACCCTCAATGTGTACGAGCGTACTATGTGTCTTTAAGTCGCCCTGCTAGCTTCAATAATCGGTCGAGAAAGGGCTGACACTGCGCCAACGCGAGCTCCTCAATGCTCTTTACCATCCGGTAGCGAAAAAGAATGCACGACAGTGTTTCAAAGCTGTTCAAGTGTGGTAACTCCTGTTGAACCCCACCGCAGTGCGGGCATCGAATGTTTCTGCGTCGCCAGAATACGAGATCATATGGGCAAAATCAAACCCCAAGACATGACTCGAGCCTGCATCTCCCGCTTACCGGGCGATTGCGTTTCCATTCGAGGGTGCTCCAACACTGTCAGCTCATGGCTTTTTGGACCGCTGCCTTCCAGCACTCAGCACGTCTAACGTGATGAGTAAGAGGGTACGAGCGATACTGGTAGCGTAACTGGATAACGCAAAAAGCGAATGGTAAGGCGGGAGTGCAAGCTCCTGCGACGACCGCCATTTTACTTTTGCCCGATCACACTCTAGCATTTTTGTGACAGCTGCATAAGATTCACAGTGCTAAATCCTATGAAAGAAGAGCAAAAAGGATACACTTTAGTTCGCTGCAGACGGTTGAGCGTTTCAGGCAGTATGAGTCGCGATGTCACCACTTTTTAGCAAAAGACGTCCTCTCTGCCTTCAATGTTGAAACCCCCGCCTGCACAAAGTGGTTAAACAAACGAACCAGTACGAACGACCGTAGTGATAAACTTACTTCCGTAAATGCGTCTTAAGTCAACTATCCCCCACTCGGCATTCCAGGAGCGCAACGTCTGGAAAATCACACAAAACAACTTTTTTCAATGGAAAGTCACAAGAACGGCCCCTGCACTTGCAGCTCTAAACTGAACAAGACTCCCATTGAGGGGTTTTCCATAATCTGAAGAGCAGAAATCACTCTAGATGAAGTTTTCGACCGAACATTTCAGAATAAAGGACCGAAAAATCACAATGCCAAAGAAGGAATAAAGGCTAATGATACCTTATCGGAGTTCCCAAGCACGAGTGCTCATGCGTTCAAACCACCAAGAGCATACTTAGTAACTAGCAAATAAATCATTTACAACAACACAGCTATAAATTACCGCGGCACCACACGCTTCAACTCTGAGAACTCTTATGTCTCTTAAAAACTGGTATACCACAGGCCCAGTGCCGACTCACCATAGTTCTAAAAAAATCGCCTCCAGCACCTCCATTCCACTTCTCCTGCCACGAGTCAGGTGTCCGCGCGCGTTAATTTTTTTTGTCACTGCTCTGATCTTACACCCCGGCATGTACTGTCCATGAAAGGATTTTGAAATCACTGCAATTACGAATATCTCATGTGAAGAAATATAAAACGAGAGTCTATCAAAGGCGTCTACCTGGATTAGACTGGAAAACATTGCGAGCACGAATTCCTCCGAGTGAGCAATTGAAAAAAAGTTGGGAGAGTTCTGATACAGGAATGTAATCATTTGCACAACAGCTGATGGATAGTCCAATATGCCATCCTTGAAGAGACTGGAAAACAAATAAAACTATATAAAAAGGACGATTAATTGTGAACAACTAAACTTTATAGTGCGTCATAAATGGAATGCACAATTTCATTTCAGATTCAACAAATTTGGAACAAAATTCAACATTTTTTGGACCAAAGTATGCCACAATTTCAATGGACAGCTATTCTTTCCGAGAAACCACAACGATACATTTTAGGCGTAGCATTTCTGCATAACACAACTCTGCTTCTGCTAAAAGTAAAAGGTTCTTTACCGTTGATCAATCCTTTTTTGTGGATGGCGACACGCCGTATACTCCGTCCCGGCTGCGTTCAAAATTCCCATTTAAAATCGTAATTGTGTGAGTGGCAACTGTGGCCTAACGCACAAAGACTTGCAGCGAGCCCAGACCGATGTCGGCAAGCCGCAGTGCTATTTTATCCTCCACGATGAATTAGGTGCCAATTTCCCGTGCCCTGAGGAAAGAAGGCGTAACTGGCCAGGGTGAAACCAATCCGGGACTTGATTACCGGACTAAACGCCAGATACGTAATCCCGTGCCACTTGCCCAGTACATCACCCCCACCTCTTTCATTTGCTTGCACGTGGACATCGCAAATGCATGCCTCCTTTTCTCAGCAGTGCACCTACCGTAGTCTCTTCTGGATGTTGTTCGACGATTTCTTCAGTGTTCTGCCGGGTGTCAGGAATCAGTTCTATTAGATTGTTGCCCCATCCCCTCTTCCTCTCCCGACAAGCGGCGTACGATGGCACCTTCCCATCTGCGACCGCGCTATAACACGGCTTCATCCCAGTGAGCTTGTACGCACGACTCATCTGCGTCAAGTCATTCGCTGATTCCGCCGTACCGGAAATGGCTTTTTTTCTGAAACAATCCTATGCAGCACTCGCAATCAACCAAGATTCATCACGAGCGTGTCGTTGCGTAGTGTTCCCTATTGTTGGGATTTCAATGCAGACGTTAATAAACGTGTAATTGGGAAGAGGTAATCCACAAAGTGAGGGTGGAATACACTGACGCATGAAGAAAAATTGAGGCACCATAGTCAACAAAACATAGAGGAGTGATTGATAACAACAACAGCGAGACATCAGAAATTAAGCTCACTTCATTCCCTGAGTAGATGGAAGCTCTGATCATCGCCAAAAGTGGTATTAGGGCATCATAGCAAAATTCTGCCGATCTAATTGCTTCATATACCGAACTGCAAGGAAGTGACTAACAATAAGAAAGAAACAATGCAAATGATAGAAATATTCACCTATTAAGCGCTAGACCAACCAATAACCCACCTATTAAGCGCTAGACCAAAAACATGTGTCCATATCTGGTCGACATTGAAACTCTCACAAAATCGAAGTTCTTTCACAGGCTAAAAACAAAAGAATTGTCTGAAGAATATATCTCTTGGAGGCACGCCCCGCATTCAAAAAATAGTGATTTCTGCGGCTCAAGCACTAATGAGTAGACTATAGGTAACACAAAAGCTGAGAAGAAAGCTGAAAAGACCCGAAATGTCGCATACAGAACACCCAAGTGAACCACGCTTGTAAGCAAGGCGAAGAAAGGGTGTGGTCTCACTTGTTAGTGTGAACTCTTTCCTTTTATTACCTACCCTCATCATCTGGAATGGAGAGGGTAGCGGAAAAGCGCACCATCAGGTAGTAGTCAAAAACGAAAGTTGGCGTGCCCTGGCGGCACTGATCATCAAGTGAACGCGGGGTGTGCCTTTAAAGCTGACAAACGCATACACATTCAGGAGTTCAAGCGAAGTCCTTTGTTACAAGCTAAGACAAACTCGTTAGTTATATAGCAAGACTTTAGGATGACCTGATAAAGGAATTTAGCGCAATGTAATCGTGCTTTTTTCATCGTGTCACAATGCTCACTGCTCTCTGGTGGATACGGAGGAATCACTATTCTAATGAAATTTGAGCTACTTTATCATTATATCTGCCGGCTAAGGCCGCAGTTCGCGCTCCGATAGCTATCAAAAGAATGAGTCAACAAGGTCCTGACCCCAGGAGGGACTTGAACCGACCCCTCACGCTTTCCGAGTGACGATACTACCCATGAAGCTACCAGGGCTGCTCTTACCCTACTCACCATTAGCTTGTAGCAGAAGACGCGAGGTATCCTGAGTAAACGCAAAAGAATGTTTGACTGGTGGCATCGCACTTCGACACCACAACATTATCTGCTCCCGGTCCCTGAAAGTGTATTCCCGCTCATCCCATGTTGTGGCCAGTTCCCCATCTACAGACTTATAACGTCGACGATAGTCCTTATTTGCAAACGACTAACACCCACCAAAGAGTTCTTGCGCGATTGTAGCGGTCTTTTTCCTGTCATGAACAGAACAGTAGGAGCAAAACAGCCCCATTAGCAAGCCTGCACATAAGAAACCAACAAGTTCACAAAAATTAGCTGACCTGTCCAACAAGTATAGCTAGCATAGCCAAGTATGCATGTGTTTTGTCCGCATGAGCAGCCATCAGGTGTTCCAGAGCCGCAAATCCCGCACAGTTTTGAAGCTCAGGATTAATGTCTATTTTACTGCCAACTGCCCCACCATGGGCAGAGACAGAGAAGCCCAATACCACCTAAAAAACGATCAGCATCAGTCATGACTTCAGCACTCTTCGAGAACGCAACAACCGAAAGTCCTCATAACAGACTTGCTTCCATTGGAAGGAAATGGAATAATTAGAAAAAAAAACACAGGTTTGCGTTGAAAAACCACGACAAAACACGGATCGTCTGGCTTAAGCCTAGACTTGACAAGCAAACACTCACAGCAGCTCGATTCCGCACCACAGAATCCGCATCCGTTAACCAACCACCACTGGCAGTGCCCTCTCGGAATTTCGCCAACAAA